TGGAGAGAGCTGGAGAAGGATGTAGAACAAAATTCTAACACACACAAAAAAGATAATATTTACTAGCCTGAAAGAGACTGGATAAACCCCAAGAGTATGGCCCCCAGACACCCTTTTAGCTTAGTGGTGAAGTCATTTCCAAGGTTCACCGTTCAGCTGGGGATTGGACAGCCCCATAAAACAAAATGGGACTAATGAGGCACAGCAGTCCAGGGACAAGGACTAGAAGGCGGGGGGACAGGAAATCTGGTCATGGGGAACCCAAGTTTGAGTAAGGACAGTGTTGACATGTAGTGGTGTTGTTAAGCATTGTCATAGGGCAACGTGTACTGACTGTTTAATGAGAAACTATTTTGTTCTGTAAATCTTCATCTAAAGTGAGAATAACATCACAACTGGAAGAACGTAATTGATGTCACCAAACTGTGCACGTAGGAATTTTTGAAATGGTATATGTTTGGCTACGTATATTTTCACCAAAAAAAAAAAAAAGGGTCGAGAAGGGAGAGGGTTGACATGTCGTGGGGTTGTTAACCAATGTCATAAAACAATATGTATACTGACTGTTTAATGAGAAGCTGTTTGTTCTGTAAGCCTTCACCTAAAGTACAATTAAAAAAAACAACAAAAAAAGAGACAAATCTACTACATTAAAACAATCAACTAACTTATTTGCTTTTCATTGGCCTATAAGTTGGAAAAATTGAGAAACAAGTGAAATTCAAATTTTTCTTCCACTTACCTAATATGATTATATGCTTAGATATGTGGTAAAAATTTAACTTTCCCTGTTAAAGGGAAACAATGTTGCTAGTAATCTAAAGCAATGTCCAATTGGTTTAGATTATTAGCAAATAATATTTGGAACTGATTATATGAATATGTTGGTAGCAGTTGAACTTTACTAGTAATCTTTTTTTTTTGTTTGTTTTTGGACTGAAATTAAAATTTGTCAGCAAGTATTATTTGAAAATCAAAGAGATTATATTGCCCATGATTCTTAATGCTATAG